TGATAAGCGAGAAACTTTGATCGATCGCGCCAGCAACTTCAAGGTAACACACAAAAGCGATAAACAGACTCGGTACGTACTATGACGGACAGGGCGTATGAACAATAGGCTAATAGTGTTGATCTTCAGCATAGGTTTCATATCGGTTTCTGATAGCGCGCGCACACACACACACACACACACACACACACACATCCCGGATATGAACGGGCCGTGTTGCGAGAAACGATGACGAGATCCGATTTGATGGGGGAAAACCTACCTGTTCACGTCGCGCATTAAAGCCAGAAGAGAGTCACAAATCGTGTTCACTTTGGACCGTTTGTACACAGAGATGGTCTGAGGCGATTGCTTCTGTTCCGCTTTACCGCGCATCAGTTGGGATACACCGCGACCATAAAGCTTCCCGTACATGGTTTGCGACACATCTTCCTCGCTACAATCAACATGAGAAACAAACAATGAGAACAGTTAGCATCAGCAACGAATATTGTATGTGACGCTCTGAAAACACACAGTTAATAAAGAGGTGCCTGGAACGCGAATCTAAGCACTTTTGAAGCACAGAGGCAACGAAGAGAAGAGCGGGGGGGAGTGAGGTGAATTGCGTATTCATGAAAATGTACCGTGTAACTGGGACTCGAAATGGTGAACTACGTAATCTGACAAAAACGTGGGCAACATGGGTATTATGACTCCAAATGTAACTGGATTTAAAGAAAAAAGGAAGATTTCAATAAACAGAATTATCAATTTTATACAACACAAGAATTGGAATAAATTTTGGGTGGGTCTTCCAAAAGTTTAGTAAGAACGATGATATCCAATCGGATTCGAAATACAAATCTGAATCAAAGTGGTAAGCTACCACCGTAGCACATCAATCAATCGATCGATCGATTCCATGAATAACTTACGTCAGTTCGCTCACAAATAGTGTGATCGGTTCCGCATTGGTTACTTGATTTAGGAGTGCACTGAGGTTGGCCAAAAATACACCGGGGTTGTGGTCATGCAACAGATTCAAACTGACACGATGTCGACGCATCACTTCGAGTGCTTGTGCATATTGCATCCTGTAAATGAACAGTCAGCGGGTGAATGTAAGATAAAGGTGCATCACTGAGAACAGTCAAGTTATGGAGAAATTTAAACAATCAATATTTTATTCACCTATCACTTCTGGCAAATAGAATGCAGTTAAATTATTTTCATAGGAAGATCAGTCGCATTAAAAACACGACAAAGCATCCTGAAGAATCTCTAACACGAAACAGGGTAATTGATTGGTAGTTTGTAGTATTGTATGCATGGTTTCAGGACAGGTTGCGACAAATAGTTCAGTGGCATTCGACCAGAAACACAATTCAGTTCTGAGAAAAACAAAGCAACGGCGAGAAACCACAAAAATCAACGATATGACGAACAACATGGTTGGAGCTAATATCGAAGGGAAAATTTGAACCAAGTTCATTACAATAATTTGTTGCAGTCACAAGCTAATATTGCATCTTGACAATAAGCGTGCCTCCGAAAGCAAACTACGGTCAGGAGTGATTGTCCCAACATGCGGCTGATCACCCTTCGCTTGCACCTAACAAAGTGCCACCACACGACCAAGCGTTTCAGATAGCCTCTACTGAGGAAGCCTTACTCAATGCCTTCGTGAGAAGATGAAAAGCCAACATCCGGGGCTAAAATCGGGTCGGTGAACCACTGGCAGTTTGTCTCGGGGAGTTAGCTAAAAACCCTGATTCCAAAACAACCAAAAAGTGCTATCTGAGCAACATATCTTTCCGATTGTGGCATTGATCACTAGTTTCATTAGGCATCAAGGTGCATTTGGCAGCTTTGACGTTTGACCCGGTCGTAAGGACATAAGATCTAATTGGCGGGACATTGGTTGATCAGGGGTTATGGTTCTTACACACCGCCTTGCAGGCCAGGCTTTAGGTAACCCAAGAAAAATCAACTGTTGGTGTGGACAACCTAGCAATATCGCATCCTTGAGCAATTCATGGAACTTCCTTGATAATTATTATTTACCGAAACCAATTCCGAGAGAAGAAACCATATTGCGAAACGGGACGATTTCGCTGCATTATCGATCCTGCCTTTCGATAAACATTAGTGTACTGCGGTTTGTTGGATACAGTTTACACTTAGATGTGTGTGAAAATATAATATGTTTAAAAACGGTCTTGACAAATTCCATCCTAATAATCGGACTTATTATCTCTTCAGACACCCCATCACTCGTTTTAGTTAGTGGCGGTTGTCAACAAGCACGAGCTGGTACTTCACTCAAGATGAATAGATAAAAGAACAACGAGGGTGCCTCAGTATGGTCGGGGATGGGTGTCTAGGGTTGTGGCTGGTCACTCTTCCCTTGCACCTCGCGAAATGCTCCCATAAGACCAAGCGTCTTAAATAGCCTCTGCTGAGGAAGCCCTACTCATTGCCTTTTTGTGGCGGTGTTTTCGCACCAAAGTGAGAAGACGAAAGGCCGACATCCGGAGCTATAACCGGGTTGGTGGATCACTGGTAGTTCACCTAGAGGAGTTGGCAAAAACCCTGATTCCAAACCAACTAAAAGGAAGTGTGCGAACCACACCCACACCTTTCTCGTCCGATGAACTCGACATCGGTTCCCAATGGACTGCGGTTTTCACACCGCCTCGCTGTCTTGCGGGTCAGGTTTTGGCTAGCCGAGGTCTCCGATCGTGGATTCCTCAAGAAAATCCACTTGCCTTGGCCTGGGCAACCTGGCAGTATTCCGCCCACATGGAAATCATGGAACGTTTTTCTTTTGTAAAAAGAATATTGTACCATGATTTGCTTGGCACACAGTCTTAACGAAAAAGGTTTCAATCAAGATTTGTTCACGTGATTTACCTAGGGTAAAAGATCATACTGAGAGATATTCGACAGTCTCATGACTGACTACTGATCGAACATGCGGCTACATACGTCACCGGTTTGCTGGTCTCATAACTATGTGGATACACCGCTCGATTATTGCGCGGGACAACGGGAGCACTGTACCTTGATGAAGCGATTATTCAATCATATTTCACCAGTATCTCAATCCGGACTGTGTATGCCAAACAGATCATGGTACAGAAATCTTTATAGCAAACGGATCATTCAATGAACTGCTTGATGGGCGGAATACTGGCAAACGGCTCGGGTTAATAAAACAAGAGAACTACCGAAGCCTTCAGTTAGCCAAAAGTGACCAGTCACAACACGTGACATCCACTCCTGACCTGAATTAGACCTACGAAACAGTGAACCACATCACAACGAACGTTAAGAACTGAAATGGGTGCTCTAGTTGGGTTAACTTGATGAGATAGCGAGGACGAGGCATTTGTTCAATGGAGCCCGATTCGGATGCATTTTGAACGACCCGCGTCTATCACACTCGATCTTTTTTTACAAGCACAATTGATTTGTCAAATGAGTTAACCAGAAAAGTTGTTCCAATGAAGTAATTTTTTTCATTTTCAATTCCTTTCATTGAATACCCAAAGATACAATTTTCAGGAAGAAAGGGAAGCGAACAATCAGTGGCCTGCCATACAACAAACAGCGAATGGAGAAGTTAGGCAGTGATGGTGGAATTCGAACATGCGTCCCCCGGGGTGATAATTTCATGACGTTACCACCGTACCACCTGGCTGTCCAATGCACACGATAATGGAGATCACTTTTAATCTGCGAAAGACGGGGGAGTCGGACTGCTTTATTGTCACGCAAATACCAAGTTGCGATTGCTAAAGGATGGTTTCAGTAGGAACGTGGATTTTGTTGTATTGCACAGACGCCAGACTGTGCTAAAAACATTAAAGTACACTATTTTTTACAAAAAAGAACGTTCCAGTTTGATTTTGGACGGAATACTGTCAAACAGCCCAGGTCAAAGCAGATGAATTTTCTTGCGAAATTCCCAACCGGACCCTTCGGTTAGCCAAAGCTGGAAATGCAAGGTGCGGTGTGGAAAAACCGTAATCTATTGGGGGTGGGAAGCGGTTTCCAGTTCATCGGCTCATACGTCCCCTGGACGTCGTTAAACGTCCAAGATGCCCAGTACATCCCGATACCCAACTGAGCCATGGACCGTTACCATTACCAGAAAGGTGTACGTTTCCGATTCGTACGCCTCTTGATTTTGGTTTAGAATCTGGGTTTTCAACCAACTTCCCCAGGTTCACCAACCCGGTTATAGTCCCGGATGTCGGCTTCTCGTTCTCTGGCTTTGGTGCGAAAACACCTCTGCCACGGGAGGGCAGTGAGTAGAACTTCCCCAGAAGAGGCGGTTTGAGACACTCGGTCGTATAAGAGCAATGGAGTGGTGATCAGCCACAACCCAAGACACCGTACTGTGGCTTTCGAAAAGCAGTGATACGTGGTAAACGACCAAACGACGTGTCAAGGATCAAATGCTAAGCTGACTGAACGGCGAATGCAAAACTGAAGAGAAAAAATAACAGAAATACGTGCGATCGGACGTTCGCAACTACATTTCGACTTGTGAGCGGAATATGAATCAGACTGTGTTACGCAAGTGGTTGGTTTTTTATTAAACAATTTCGTGTGATGAACAGCAGACGGGGTAAACCCCAATCACGAGGACCTGCCGTTCTGTGATGGAAACCGGTGACCTAAGCCCCGGGATTTGGAGTGATGAACCACATAAGGCCCAGGTAGATTAGGCGTGGTATTGAACTGGACGACAGCAAACCTGCCTAGCACCAAAGTTGGGTGGCGGGACTCGAACCTCGAACCATAGGGTCCAAAGCACAGTGGTGACAGCGACTAAACCACTGCGCCACTACCAGTACATTGGACGTACATACACTTCACGTTCGCTTGTTAAAAATCGTCTGCAACCTAGAAGTTAAATCCATTCCCCTGCACGATTCAGGACTACAACCTTTAGGAACAGTCGTTGATACAGGAAGACTGTCGATAACGGTTCTTTTTACATAAATTCGTGTTATTGAAGTAAGGACACTTGATGAACCGAACTCGTTTTCGCCCGTTCAGTGCGTTGCATAATAGGGTCGTTAACAGTTCACCACCAGCAGAGGCAACATCTCCAATGCTTCTGGTTATTTATTGCGGGATTGAAACGCTGAAATAGTAGAGAGTTATGGAAACAAGAAACCTAAGCTCGAAACCGTGGAGGAGCTGGTGTCCACACAGCACCGTTAGTGCGATGAGTCAACTGAAATGATGACTTCGGATTTAGATGGGAAGCACTGAGATATGACGCGGTTGGACATTGAACGAAGTGCTCAACTATCACAAGTGTGACCCATAACCAATGATAACTATCCTGAAAATGTATTATTAGTATTATTATTATTATTACCGTATCACGATTGCTACTGCGTTTCCCAAATCGGGATGATCAAGAAAGGATAGAAACTAAACGAGGATGTCTTCAACATCCATTAGTTAAAAGTATCATCGGATGGATGAAGTTATTCGTCACACCGTTTTAAACAACGCGTGAAGTTTAACCATCAAAAACCACTCACTTATCTAACAAGACTGATAGTCTTGACAGGACTAGAGCCCGAGGGTGAGCCTCTTCTAGGTTGCCACGAGGCATTTGTAACACCACCTTTGTATCATCCGGGGGAGCACGAACAATGACGGCGCCCGTCTCAGTTGGATGCAANAAGAAGTCGTCGTACCAGTTCCGAGATCCCGATGAGACACCAGAGGTCAGTTCCGCGGGGACATCTAATCGAGAGATAAGTTCTGGGGGTTGCGCACAGATAGAATGAGAATCACAGTTAACACGCGGAACTTATACTTTCGCATATGTGTAATACAGACATTGTCAAGTGGTGCTAGAAATAAATCCGTTTTCTTTTTTATTTCCCGTGTAACTGGATGAACCAGACTTGACCATTAAAGTGGTGCGAAGGGTGCAACAGCAGTGATAAACACCCACGAGTGAACATCGAGTGTTTTCGCTCTCCTCTTCCCCCCATTCCCCATTCCCCAGAAGAACAATCACTAATTATGATACTACTACTACTACTACTACTACTACTACTAAGGTTGTATCGCTGCATCACAGGGGTCGCTTTCCATACTTACTTGGAACTCAGCCATTGCACGTTCTCCAAACGAAAAGGATCTGGGGCTTATTGTTCGTGAGCACCTAGGGTGTTCCACATATTGCACAAGAGCGTTATCAAAAGCTATAAAGCACGTGGGATTGCTAAAACGTGTTTTTGGATTATTCAAAGCAGACCTATTGCCCCGTTTGCTATCAGCATACATTAGACCGCACACCGAGTATGCCATATAGGTTTGGAAATCATAGCTGGTTCTCGACCAAAAGGCATTCGAACTCCCACAGAGAACAGCAAACGAAATGGTCAAAGGGTTACAATCTAAGATCTACGGCGAAAGGCTACATATTATCCGACTCTATTCGTCTGATTACCGTCGAATACGGAGAGACATGATGCTCATATATCAAATACAACATCAATCTGGCCGCCCGTGTAGTACTCTATTAACACTATCCAGGAATGGTCACCTCAGAGGACATCCGTTTAAACTCTTGCTCCAAAAGAGTCAGTTTAACTGCAGACGTCATTCTTTCAGCCTCAGAGTTTCTAATACCTGGAACCCTGTTACACCCGCAAGTTGTTTGCGCACTAACCATTGGCTCATTCCAGTCAAACGGCTCGATGAAGTATTGAAACACCTTAGTTTCCAGAACCCCTGAGTGGACATTATAATTTGCTATTCAATTGTACTACCAATCGAACCCAGTGTGTACAGATCCGACGGGATTCAATAAGCATCAGCTTTGTAATTTACCATAATAATAATTTGAATATGAATTACTAGGTTGACGCTGTTTGTTACAATCAAACCAAAAAAGTGAAGTAAAGATTAACAACATAAACCTACACACCAGTAATCAACCAATACATCATAAATCAAATTGAAAAGGAAGCACCGATCATTAAAGATTTCATCGTCCGTTACTCTTCCACTTGAGAATCATAATATAAAAAATAAATATGAGCCATGGAAAGGTGACATGACACGTAAAGCGTTATGAGTTGCCATCTTTAAGGTTAGGATGTAATGGGTTTGAATCCTAACACCGACGCCGATTAATTTACCCGTTTTGTGGGCATCATCAGGTAGACCTCAATCGACCAGTCTGCTTCCGCAAAATAAGCTGTACCACTGATTATTCAGTAAATTAAAATTAAATAAAAGATTGCATTGTCGTAGTTCCGGGACAAAACAACTGACATGACAATGAGCAGAATGATAAATGAGAACTCGCATTAGAAATATACAACATACGTACCCATCAAACAAGCCTCCGGATCGAGAAACACTTCAGCGCGCATTTGTGTAGGGACACAAATAACGACCTTCCTCAAGCTGGTCACTAGCAAGAAGTTCGGCAGTACAAGCAAGGAGGAGCACAGTTCCATCGCACATGTCACAGGCTTCTGTTGTCCCAATTGATAGGCTAACCGCATACGATCCTCCGGAGTGGGAATCAGAGCTGCATACAGCCGATGGGATGAATGGTGCAAAGCCAACAGAAATTGTCGGCTCCAGTTCGTCGGAACTGACTGTGATCCGGGCAGTTTGGATTTCCACAGTTTGGTGACGCATTTCTCGGTGACGCGTAGACTGGCCAGTTGTTCACAGACCTGAGGAAGACGCAAAATCCAGTACAACGGGCTATCTACCGTTTGGTCGGTTTCATCCAACCCCTGTTGAGAGGAGTCGATCGATACACAATCCGGGGTATCTGCCAATAGTAGAAGAAAGAAACGAAATTAAAATGTGGACTCCTTACGGGTCCAAATTTCAAAAAGAAAAACCTATAGGAGCACCGCGCGCAGCATATACGGTAATCTGTGATTGAAAAAATCGATCGTCCTACCACAATGAAACTGATGCCGGCCTTGACCTAACGCAAGACTTAACATGAAACAGAACTACCAAATCTCATGTTTTAGATATCAAGTTCGTCAAAACAGGAAGTGGGTTTCAAGAATTAAACATTCCAGGTATCCACTTTATTTCGAAAGGCCATGCCAGAATAAATGTCGCTTGATGAGAAATTGAAACGTCTCATGGTCGTTCTCGATATCGAATATTGACAGTGAAGAGGAAATTCAAGTGTGAGTTACACAGACCCCAGTCCCAAAGATATGATGCATGGGAGATGTAGATTTAGTTCAGACAAGCGAGGAATATGGTGTAAACAGGTGAACAGCGATCCAAACTGATGAGGCGCCTTAGCCGGATTACGAACCATCTGTAAACAACCATTCCAACTCGGAAAACCTCCCAACACCAACAGATGTCACCCCAGGCTACATTATATCCGATGATCATACAGAGTACCCGAGCTGGGTTAGTTAATGCGCACTGCGCATCGCTGACTGCAGGATCCTAGCAGCTATGCATGCACACGAGATTTTTTGGTTACAGATATATGAGATCGGAGATCTGTGGTGGCCAAGTGGATAGGTCACCAACTTGTGACCTGTGAGTCTCGGATTCGAACCGCTCCACCGCCGCCCGTCTTCTCAGACAGCCTTTGTAGGGCCGCG